AATCAAATTATATGTTTTTTTTTTTTTAAGCAAGAAATTTATCCACCACCATTTTACTCTGCTCAGCACTACGAGGCTCTGGGCTAAAAAGCTGAAGGAGTGATGCTAGATTTTTGAAATCTCGCAAGCATTAATTTCAACCCTTAATAATAACTGTATTGTTTCTTACTAAGTTAACTGTCGTCTGATTGTTCAAAGACTTCAAAAGTAACTAGTAGCAACTAAATCTTGAAAATGGACAAAATTTGACATTGTGAGGTAATCAAGTACACCCAGAAAAACAGTTTTGCACCCCCCCGCCTCCACAAGGATATTCATGCTGACATAGTTGCTAGATTAGGGGGTGGGATGACACTCTAGCTTTATCAACAGTGCAAAAGTGAATCCAGCACATTCAGACCACAACAAACAAGAAAACCGAGAAATATTAATAGTCTATGTTCTGACGAGGAATTACATCTATACATCTACGAAACTTATTTATATTTTTTGTGTGTATTAGTGTGTGTATTTTTTAGGTTGCAATTGTTTTAAGATACGCGTGATAAAAGGGAGAAATTATTCCGTATTGATACACGCCATTTCAAGTGTTGACCGTAACAAGGTTCGTAGTAAAGAGATTGAATTTAATCTTTTTGGCGGGTTGTCCGAATTTGCGATAGGAACACTTTTGTTGTATGCTGAGATCATTTTTATTATTTTAAATTTATTTTTAAATTATTTTATACAATGTTTTTATGTCATTATATTATTTTATTTACAATTTTCATTATTATTATTATTTTATATTTTATTTTTTATTCATAATAATCCGACAGATTGAATAAATAATATGAAATTAGGCTGCTAGCAAAAGGATAACAGCAAAATGCAAAAGTATTAGAATTTTGACAAAGGATTGAAATAATTATCCCATTAAATTATGAATTTAATATTTTCGTTGTATTTTCATTGAAATATGAACAAAATCAATTTAAATTATTTAATCTTGAAGAATTAACTCTACAATAAACAGTATACAATGTCCTCAAAAACATGACTTTTAATCAAAGGCTATATGTGTTTTTAACTTCAGAAGATTTTATTGAAAATATTTAATGAGAAACACTTTTTTAGTTAAAATTTTAGATATAAAATATAATTCATATAAACTTATACATGAAGACTTTTTAATCTAAAATATCAACAAAACTCAGAATCCTTTGTCAAAATTCCATATATTGAACATACACAAATACGTAAACTAACTCCCCCCCCATATATATATATATATATATATATATATATATATATATTGGTCGATATAAATATGGAGAGTACTGAAAAGTAAAACCATTTTTCTAAATCTGTCCAATAGATTTTTTAAAATCCCTTTCTGATTGAAACCAAGAATTTTTCAGCAACCTATTAGTATATAAAATGTATGATCACACTTTAATATTATGCTACAAAACAGGCTAATGTTTTTCAATTTATTTTTTAATAGTAATTCTCATTATAAATGTATTTCATTGTTTTTACGCTGAATTTCTTTATATCATAAAACGTTTGATAAATTTTTATCGATAGGAAGAAAAGCATATTTTATTCCGTTCATTTGTTTTGTCACTTCTTTAATTCCCTTGAATCGATGACGTTCAAAACCTACGAAAGCTTTAATGTGTTTCACTTTCTTGCTCTGCAGTCTTTGTCTCCCTTAAAATCTTCTGTGAAAGTAAAAAGAAAAAAATGCGATGACTGATTCTTGTAACTTACCAGCAACCCTTCATAAAAAAAAAGAAAAAAGAAGCCAAAACTAATAAAAGAAAAGTAAAGTAAATAAAAAAAAGAAGTGAAAATAAACAGACGAAGTAAACAAGTTGTCAGTGGAGAATGATAAAATGCAGACAGTACTATTTGATCCGAGGCGGGAGCCATACTCACGTGCATGCGCTGTTCTTTATATTCTGCTTGCTCAAAGTTTACGAGCACATTTCAAGATGGCTGACAGATAAAGAAAATAGAAAAAAAAACTCAGATCATTTGTTCAATGTTCGACACGATCAATTAAGCATTTATTGATGCCTTGAAGCTGGTTACTGCGTCTGATATCTCCTGGAATGCATTTTATTTTGATAATCATGTTCCGTGACATTTTTAGATAGGGAACAAAAATCGTGTCTGTCCAAACACATCTTCATACCACTATTTAACATACCAATCGTCGCACTTTTCTACGCTTAACTATCAACGAAGAAAAGAAAGTAAATATTGACACATTTACAAGGCAGACTGACACTTCTCGGTGACGGCATTTAATTTAAAAATTTTTTTTTGGCTCTTGAATGTTTTTGACACATACGCATCTTCATATTTATATACGTCTATATACATGCTCATAGGCTTTTGTAAATGAACACGAAGCTGAAATGTCAGAATGAATTAAAAGCATTGTATGAAAAGAAAAATGTCAGGTTGATTCCTTCTTAGGCAATGTCGTTAGAAGAACGAATGCATTTTCAACTGGCATAGAGGCATTTCCTTATACACATACACAAACACACACACACACACACACACATATATATATATATATAAAGAGAGAGAGAAGGTTATAAAAAGACAGATGATTGGCAAAACATATGAATTAGCAGGAAATGCAATATATATATATATATATATATATATATATATATATATATATATATATGCGTGTGTGTGTGGATGTCTGTGCCTGAATGTTTCACTCTGTGTGTAGATAACTCCGAAACCTAATCTAAAAATACTAATCAATTTATTTTACACACCAAATATTTATTTTACAACTAAATCAATGCCCTTTTAACCAACAATTTTCCCATTAATCAATAGATAAAAAATTACAGGGTGAATATATATATATATATATATATATATATATATGAGGGACACTCTGAACATAGCCGAATTACCCGCGTCTTACTGCGTGTCACACATTTTTTGTAAGTGAATAATGATCGATTTTAAATCATTGTTATAATTTGTGGAGAAAAATGATGCATTTCAGTATTAATCAATGATCTTGTCGATGTGACCTCCATCTTCTGGATTTCTCCTTCTTTATTTTGGATAGAAGTCATTCCCTTTTTCAAATTTAAATTTAATTTAAATCAAAGGAAAAAAATCAGTGGGGGCTGTGAAAAAATAGCTTGATTTGAACCCTTTGATTTGATGCAATACTTGATTGAATGAATTGATGAGCAGGTTTCAATATTGATATCACAGTTAAATTGTCACCACAAATATGTATTGTAAGGTATTCGTCATTTCTTGCTCGATTTGACGTGAATATTGCATTATTTTGATCTTGCTGATGTGACCTCCATCTTCTGGTTTTCTCCTATATTTTGAATAGGAGCCATTCCATTGTTCAAATTTAATTTTAAATCAAAGGGAAACAAATTCAGGAGTGGAGGTTGTGCCTCCCGGAGACCCCCTTTGATGAAAATGAAATAATCTCATTCATGTGCTTTAGGAGTCATCCCCTCGTCCAAATTTAAATTAATTTATATCAAAGGGAAAAAATTTCAGTGTGTGTGTTGGGGGTATTGTGCCACTCGGGGATACCCTTTGAACAAAATTAAGTATACTTATCCAAGTACCCTGGGTAATGTAGTTTCAGAATATATATGTTGATGAGGTCTATCTCCAAAACCCTAGAAGTTCGATAACAAACAGATAGATAGAGGCTACAACTTTATATATAGAGATAGATTTCCAAGGAAACTATAACAACGTAGTCCTCACCATCGTTTATGCATGTTTTGCCAGTGGTAAGAGCTTGTAGGTCTCGTTCGTAAAAAATTATCGACTATAGAGGCAACTCGCTTTCGTCACTGTAATTTTTTCCTCATAGAGGAATTCAATCAAATGCGTCTGCTTCAAAGGCACTTTCATGCCAGAAACCATTTTGTTATACTGTCATTCAGTTGCGGTCTGCAGCAAAGTAAAATAGATATATGTTATTGGGAAGGTTTACCCCCAACTGTCATGCCAACAAAATCATATGTGCATGTTCAGCTTCTTTTTTTTTAATATTGCGCAGCTTACCAACATACCAACACTCAAATATTCCGGCAAAGTTTCGTCGAAAAGTAAATTCAACTTTCTAACAAATAGATTGAAAAACTCATCAAGCAAGACAAACCTTGAAGTCATTCACTACGGTTGAACAATACTCAAACACCAACTACCTGCACTTTATTAGACTAAACGAGGATACCTCTTGCTCTCACTCAAACACGCACACAAATACACACACACGCACACACATATATAATATATATATATATAGGTAGACGAATGACAAAATTGAAAATCTCGTAAGTGAAGCGTTATAATTAAAAGAGAAAGGAAATTATCAAGGCGAAATTAGATTGCACAGAGGTGACAAGCTCGTAAACCTAAGAATATTCAAGAAAATAAAGTCAGAAAAGAAATTATGAAAGTTAAAAAAGAAACAGAAATTCAAAGAAATAGGATTCAAAATCGACACTATAATAAAAGTAGAAACAGAAGATTTCTTAGTTGTAACTTTTAACGAAGCCAAAAACAAGGATGGAATTGCACTAAATGATTGTTTTTCGGCGAAACTTACATTTACAACATTTACACCTAACAGAACGGTTAGGTGTAAATAATTTTAATATTAATAAGATTATTATTTACTTTATTGTTCTTCATGAAAAAATAGAGCTACCCTCTTTGATTTCCAAGCGTTTTTCTTGTTCATTTTGATAACAACAACATTTCTCTGAATTAGAATGTATTATTCTTATTTACAACCTTATTTTCAATCTTAAATGTTAATCTCGGCCTAAATTCAAATCCAAAATTAAGTAACAATTCATTTATAAATTTAACAACATTAATAATGCACCCCAACAATAAAATATCTCGCGATAACCAGAAATATTAAAAAAAAACAGCACTTGAAAATTGAAATCTAAGGTATTATGTATATTTCTTAATATATTAAATAGCTCTGTTATTTAACATTGAACACTGTTTATTCTTACGGTATCTATCTATCTATCTATCTATCTATCTATCTATGCGAACGCTCGCTCGTACATTTACCCATATTTTTATCTATTTGATTATATATATGTGTGTGTGCGTGTGTATGTGTTTTTTCTTGACTTATTATTACACACATGCATATATATATATATATATATATATATATATATATATGAATACATGTACCCACATATGTGCTAGAACCCATATAAAAGAATCAACACTTCAAGTGTATATCCCCAGGGCAACGTATTTAGGTAATTTTAAACTTGTTCTTATGTCTACACTTAAAAATAAGTTCGTTTCTTTGCTTCAACAACTGGTCAGCACTTCTGTAATTTGATTATTGTAATTTTTTCTTTTAGGCACAGACCAAATCTCTCCCGGAAGTTGTTGTGCGTTTGAGACCAACAGATAGTATTGTCAGATAAAGCAGTTTTTAGTATCGGAGATGGAATGTCGGTTACTCTAGAGTCTTTGTTTCAAATTCCCAGTGGATATAATTTTTATCATTAATATTATCTTTCGGAAAAATGGTATCTGCTATACTACATTTTCCGAATTACAGATACATCCAACTGGGCAGCTGGTCCCAGTTCTACAATTACAAGAGGGCTTGTTTTCTGTTGTTTTGTCGCCATCAAATAATTTTTGTGTTTGGTTGTTGTGTGTTAATAATGTTCTGTACGTTTTTGGTGCAGGAAGAACTACTGATTAAGTTTAAAAAGTTCTTCCCTTATTATAATGCTCTGTAGTTTACAGTGAGCTCTCTCTGGATTAATATTCTCCTTGAAATTATCGCTACCAGTCACAAATTGGTAATATATATATATATATATATATATATATATATATATATATATATATATATATATATATCACAGAAAAGGTCTCCATTCTGAGCCGTTGGTCTGAGTACTTCCAGACCCTCTTCAGTGCTGATCGAGTCATCCAGGACCCAGCAGTTCTCCTCAGTCAGTCAGAGCAGAATTTGATAAAATAACCTCTGTGGAAGAAGTTACCAAAGCCATAGAGCAGTTGGGGCGTGGTAAGGCAGCGGGAGTCGACGGGGTTCCACCAGAGATCTGGAAAGATGGAGGATCAGCATTACACAGCAAGCTCCACGAACTCCTAGTCTGTTGTTGGGAGCAGGGCAAACTTCCTAGTGACGTCCGCGATGCAGTCATCGTCGCATTGTACAAAAACAAGTGAGAAAAGTCAAATCCTTGCTCGTGTGCTCCTGAACAGATTGGTGCCCATCATTGCTGAAGACCACCTAACAGAAACTCAGTGTGGCTTCAGATCCAACATGATCACCACGGACATGGTGTTCGTCATCAGGCAGCTTCAAGAGAAATGCCAGGAGTAGAACAGTGGGCTGTACGTAACGTTTGTGGACCTGACCAAAGCGTTTGATACAGTGAGTAGAAGGGACTCCTCTTCGCCGACGACCCTGCTCTCGTCGCCCACACCGAAAGAGCCCTGCAGCGCCTAACGTCCTGCTTTGCGGAAGCTGCCCGGCTCTTCGGACTCGAGGTCAGCTTGAAGAAGACAGAGGTCCTCCATCAGGCTCCACCCTGAAAGACTACTGCTCTTCCGCACATCACCATCAGCGAGACTGAGCTGAAAGCAGTTTTCCAGTACACTTACTTGGGGTGTACTATCACATCGGATGCCAAGATCGATGGTGAAGTAGACAACTGACTAAAGCAAACAGCGCTTTCGGCAGACTCTACAAAAGAGTCTGGAACAGCAAGCATCTGAAGAAGGACACTAAGATCAGCGTCTATAGAGCCGCCGTGCTCACCACCCTGATGCACGGCTCTGAGTCATGGGTAACCTACTGCCACCACCTACGACTCCTTGGGCGCTTCCATCAGCGCTGTCTCCATACCATCCTCAACATTCACTGGAGTGACTACGTCACCAACGTTGAGGTCGTCGAACAGGCGAAAATCACCAGCATTAAAGACATGTTGCTGAAGTCACAGCTACGCTGGATAGGGCACGTCTCCAGAATGGGGGACAATTGCCTGCCCAAGATAACCCTGTACGGCGTACTCTCCTCTGGCCATAGTGACAACGGGGCACCGAAGAAGCGTTATAAGGATTCCCTCAAGAAGTCCCTCGTTACCTGCCACATTGACCATCGCCAGTTGTCGACACTTGCTGTTGACTGTTAAGCCTGGCGTCGCACCGTCCACTAGGCCGTCTCTATCTTTGAGGACTCTTGCAGGGCCAACCTGAAGGAGAAACGCCGCGAGAGGGACGACCGGAAGCCTCAGTAGCCAGACCAGACCAGACCAGACCAGACCAGACCTGTAATTGTAGTCGCTGCGGCAGGACTTGCCTGTCTCGCATCGGCCATCAGCGTGCCTGCAGTCGATGTGGACAGCCCACTCCATAAGTCTTCGTTCGCGAAGCCAGGCCAAAAAGAAGGTATATATATATACACACACACATCTGGGAAAAGGTATATAAATTTTGATATATCAGAACAATTTTTAGGAAAATACATGACAAATTGTAAAAAGTTTAATTAGGTTATCATCAGAAGAAAGCAATAAATGATATCGGCTAGACGATATAACCAAACGCGTATATAAAGAAAATAATATTTAAAATTTCAGCATACCTTTACGTAATCATCCATTTAATCCGAATAAAGTAGTAAAGGGCGAAATGCGTCACACGAACGTTTTTTCTCATTTTGACTTGGATTTTACTAATATATATATATATATATATATATATATGTTTGTGTGTGTGCTTGTGTGTGTGTGCGTTGTAACCTAGGGAAGGTTACTGAATAGAATAATCAGAAGAAAGTTGGTAATGAACGACAATATTTAGGACTAGGACAACACATACAAGATTAGCTAGCGCCGCGTAAATGTAGTCAACTCTAGAAGTGAGTTAAATGAATTCCACAATGAATCTTCAACTGCATACTAACATACAGTATTTACTACTATACATATGTGAATGGGGACATACCCATTATCGTCTGTAGGTATGCTACAACAATATGTATGTGTGTGTGTGTATGTGTGTGTGTATGTGTGTGTGTATGTGTGTGTGTGTGTGAATATTTATTAATCAAATGCATCTAATCATCATTGTCCTACTTGATTGCCAGGAAGAAAAATTACGGTTGCATTTTAGGTCTAACTGTATTTAAATCTGTTATTCTTTTTGCCGTTTTCCTATGGAATTAATTGTTCAGTCTTTAAGTAGGACTATTGGTTCACTTTATCGTGATAGACAATTTTTTGCTATCTTACATATTTATAAGTCTACCATTCGTCCACATATATTCTGAAGCTGCCGATATTTATTTAGATTCTTGAAAAATAGAGAGAAGAATCTGCAATATATTGACCCGGCATCCCGGCATCGATTGTTTAAATAAGTAAAAATGCGTCATTTTGTCTCTTTATATAATAATATTATATAATTCTTCATTTTCTTCATATTTTGTCTTTTTCATATGGAAATATGAAAAAATTCGTCATTTTCTTCAGATTTTGCCTTTTTATGTAGAAATATGAAAAAAAAAATCTTCATTTACTTCAGATTTTGACATTATATACAGAAATATACAAAAATGCTTTTCATCAGATTTTTTCTTTGCACTAATGCAAAAATGTGTATTCCTCTTCAGATTTTGTCTTTTCCAAATAGAAATATGCAAAAATGCTTAATTTTCTTTACACTTTGTCTTTTTATATAGAAATATGCAAAAAGGCGTCATTTACTTCAGATTTTATATTTCATATACAAATATGCACAAATGCCCCTTTTTCTTCAGATTTTGTCTTTCTCATTTAGAAATATATACAGATGTCTGCTTTTCTTCAGATTTTGCATTTTCCAAATAGAAATATGCCAAAATGATTCATTTTCACCACAATTTGCATTTTTATACAGAAATATTAAAAATGCATTATTTCCTTCTGATTTTCAGTTTTGCCTTTACAAATATGCACAGATGCTTCTTTTTCTTCAGATATTGATATTTCCAAATACAATTATGTAAAAATGAAGTTACCTTTTTATATAAATATATGCAAAATTACGTCTTTTTCTTCAAATTTCGTCTTTTCATTTAGAAAAATGCGACTTTTTGCAGATTTTATGCTTTTCATATAGAAATTTGCAAAATGCGTCATTAACTTCATATTTACAAATATGCACAAATGCCTCTTTTTCTACAGATTTTGAATTTATGCAGAAATATTAAAAATAACTCATTTTCTTCAGATTTTCTCTTTTTGATATAGAAATATGCAAAACTGTATCATTGTCATCAGATTTTTTCACAAAAATTTAGAAATATTTAATGTCCTTCCGATTTTCGCAATTTATATAGAAATAGGGAAAAATGCTTCATTTGCTTTCGATTTTGCCTTTTTATATTGAAATATTAAAAAATGTGTTATTTTCTTCCGATGTTCAATTTTGCCTTTTGAAATATGCACAAATGCTTTATTTACTTCAGATTTTGTTTTTTATATAGAAATATGCATAAGGGAGTCTTTTCATATAGTAATATGCAAAAGTGCTAAATTTCTATCAAATTTTGTCTTTTGCATTCAAAAATATCCATAATTGCATCTTTTTCTTCAGATATTAAAATTTCCAAATAGAAATATGAAAAATGATTCATTTGCCATTTTATATGCAAAATTACGTACTTTTGTTCAAATTTTGTCTTTCCCATTTAGAAATATGCACAAATGCATTTTTTCTTCAAGTTTTTTTTCAATTTCATATAAAACTCTGCAAAAATACGTCATTTTCTTCAGATTTTGTCTTTGCATTTATGAAGATGTACATAGGCTTCATTTTCCACAGTTTGCCTGTTTGTGCAGAAATATTAAAAATGCGTCTTTTTCTTTATATTTTTCTTTCATATAGAAATCTGCAAAAATGTTTCATTTTCTTCAGCTCCTTCATTTTATCAGATGTTGCTTTCTTAAATAGAGATATGCAAAAATGTCTATTTTTCTTCCGATTTTGTATTTTACAAATAAAAATATATTCA